CCAGGAGGGGGGGGGGCCAGACGCCGCCGCTAGTGGCGAAGGAGAAATGTGGGATGCGGCGGTTGCGGGCGATGGGTAGGGACCAGGCGGTGAATAGGTCGGCGATGATAAGGAGAGGCGGGTGGCGGTGGAGGGCAGTGAGATTGGAGATTAGGAGATCGAAATCAGGGGCGAGGGTTTCGGATGCGAACATGAGGAGGGGGATGGAGTCGGTTTGGGAGATGGAGGAGGTGTTCTCGGTGTGGGGAGAAAGACCATGCTCGGTGGGAGAGAAGGGGAGGGAGGCGAGGTGGATGGAGGAGTTGGGAGGGAGGGAGGAGCGGAGGGATTCGATGTTGAGAGGGGTGGTGGCGATGGTGATGGAGCAGTAGGGTTTGAGGCGTTCGATCAAGCGGGCGAGGGCGAGGAAGGGGATGAGGTGTCCCTGCGCCATGAAAGGGAGCATTACGATGTACGGCTGTTCGTCCTTAGACATAGTGGTGGAAGACGAGGAAATGTGTTCTGTTGAGTATAAAATGCACTTAAAAGTGCAAGGAAGCTTTGAGGAGCTTCCGTGTAGAGACATGAAATGCTTATTTTATGAAATGTATTGATTGAGTAATGGTGATGTTTGATGTGGTAGCAATAAATTTTTATGGAGCAAGGATCTAGATTTATTTTTTATAGAGCAAGGATCTAGATTTATTTTTTATAGAAGATCTTCTAAATTTAAATTCTAGAGTGTCTTGGTTTCAATTTCATCAAATTTATAATTAAATTGATCGTCTCAATTAGGGCTATAAACGAGACGAGCTTGAACGAGCTCAGACTTGGCTTGTGTTCGGCTGGTTCAAAATAGCTCGTGTTCGAAATTGGCTCATATTCGAAATAGGCTCGTGAAGAGTGTGTTTGTGTTTGACTCGATTTAAATATTCGTGTTCGTATTCACCTCGCGTTCGGCTCAAAATTGGCACGTTAAAATTAAATTGAGAAAAATAAATGTAAAGTGTGGGATTTGAACCTGAATCAAATATATACAAAAAAAAAAACACTAACCACATTGCCGCATGAGGTTTAATGATTTAAATTTAGACATAAATGTATATAATATATTATTATAAAAATAATATATGTAATATATTGTTATATAAATTTTTTATTTCGAGCTAAAACGAGCTGGACACGAGTGAACAAAGAGCTGTTCGTGTTCGACTCGTTTATAATTCGAGCTTTAAAAATTTGTTCGTATTTGGCTGGTTTACTTAACGAACGAGCCGAACACGAGTTGTTCGCGAATAACGAGCTTTTTTGACAGCCTTAGTCTCAACAAGACGAACTTGATCAAAATTGATTCAATATGAATCCAATCAAACTCAAATCAAGCAATTGAAACACAATTAAAAGTTTTGAATCATCAATTAAATAATCAAATGAACTCTAAATTAGATATAGTTATATTTAAATCGAGTGGCTCGTCAACGAAACTAAGATCACAGAATTTCGAGGATATTAACACCCAATTCCTTAAAAAATCACATAGGATCAATGAGGATTATCATGAACCTTTCGATTAGGTAGTTAAGAAAATTATACTCTGAAAGACCAAAATATCATTCCCTAACTGACTATAAATTTTAGAGCTTGTTTTGGAGAAGAACTACCGAGCAACAACCGACCGTCCATAGTTACTGATGGCAAAAAAGTTGTCTCGAAGGAAGAGGCCAAACATGCAAATATACGTGTGAAGTAATATACAGTTTAATGAGTTCACATATTCCACGAGAAAATGATTAAACTTTGATCTGCTAGGTGTATCTATAGTATACTAGTTTTCTAAATCTAGTTTGACATCATCACAATTGCAAAGTTCAAAACATACAATTTTAAGAAAAATTAGAAAAGAAAATAAAAGCAAGATCTAAAACATGAGAAATGTGAATTCAAAAATGTCCTTCAGAAGAGAATTGCTCGTGCTTTTGTGATTTAGACCTCGCGATTCTTTGGTTTTTTTATGTTTTTCCTATGTGATAGTTGTCAACCAGAGAAGAAAGTTTATCCTTAGCAAATGTCTACGTCACAAAAAGAAACATAACATCATACAATTAAGTTTCACATAACATTACAACATTTCTCAAGATTCTTGAGATTCCCAAGTTAGGTTGCAAAACCTTAATGATAATATGCCTATTTCATTAGGTTTTTGTGGTTAACTAATTCGTTGCACTACACAACAGGGAGAAGTCATAGCTCACGAAATGTTTTAACATTCTAATTAGGCAAATCGGGAGTAAACGAAGATCAGAAATATAATCTAACACTGCTGAAAATGTTATGGGAAAAACACACAGAAAAACGACAAAGAACACTACTCCTACATCACATAAACACGAAAGAAATTTAGTTCTTGTGATGTAAAACCATTAAAAGAATCATCGAAAACACATAATACTAGTACATAACAGAAGATAACAACTTTCAAAGATTGTTCAATCACCACAAAATTAGTGTACCTTGTTGTTTAATGATGGGAAAAATACACAGAAAAAACGACAAAGAACACTATTCCTACATCACATAAACACGAAAGAAATTTAGTTCTTGTGATGTAAAACCATTAAAAGAATCATCGAAAACACATAATACTAGTACATAACAGAAGATAACAACTTTCAATGATTGTTCAATCACCACAAAATTAGTGTACCTTGTTGTTTAATGATTTAGCTCCAGCAAAGTCTCTTCACAAAAGCAATACAACCACTCTTACAACTCCTCTCAAACACACCCGAAAAAAAAATACAAGAGAAGACACCTCTAGGAATCAAAGTCTTAAGGCATTCATGAACTCTTAAATTCCTTTATAACCCTCACCTCCAAGAGCCTCCATATGTCCCAAAACATGCCTTAACATATTTCTTTATATGCATTGTCCAAATCCAACAAAAGGGATCTTTCTAAGTAGAGAAGAAGAAGCAGCAGCATGGTTAGACCTGAATCCGATGTAGCCATGCCAAACAGGTCAAAGGCACGGTGTGAACCGCTAGGATACAACATAATCCCACCGACCACGACATGGCTACACCCATATTTGGAATAATTAAGCTGCTTTTGGGCATGGTTACACTGGTTTGACCCTTTTGTTTTTGTTTTTTCTCCCTGTGTAATGCGTGTTTGATCACTTGTAACTTGCGAATTACTACAAGCAACCTTTCACAAATATAAAATCATGATAAATGAAAATAAAGTGTAAAATTAAACACAAAAAAAAATATATATAAATTTGACTCATATCAATTTCTTCAAATGTACTCATTACTTGCCTTCAAGTAAGCCTATAACTCAACTGTGACAAAATTAATGTTAGTAATTCTCATGCAGGCTTCCTGATTTTTTAACTAAAATATATAAATGACCAAAATATTATATGTGTGTGTGTGTGGGCAGCGGAGAATACAAGATGAATGTCTACGCCCTTTCGGAGGTCGCGAAACACAAGAGAATACAAAACGAATGTCTACGCCCTTTCGGAGGTCGCGAAACACAACTCCCGGGAGGATTGCTGGCTCATCATCAATGGCAAGGTCTATAACGTGGCTCAATTTCTGGAAGATCATCCAGGGGCAGATGAGGTCTTGTTGGCAGTAACCGGTCAGGACGCAACTGAAGATTTTGAGGATGTAGGGCATAGCACAATTGCAAGGGCTACGATGCATGAATATTATGTTGGTGAGATTGATGTCTCCACAATCCCAACGAAGGTTAAATATATTCCTCCCAAGCAACCTTTCTACAATCAGGACAAGACGGCGGATTTCGTAATTAAGATCCTACAGTTTTTGGTTCCATTAGCAATACTGGGATTGACTGTTATAGTGAGGATCTACACAAAAGCAGCCTCGAATTAGATGAATCTGTTGCATGCGCTTTTCGTCTGCCAGGAAGGTAATCTTTTCTTATTACAATATGATTCTATTTCCTGCCTGATGAGGCTTGTTTCCATTGTCATATTTCATGGTGTACTTTGCTTGAAAGACTTCATTTTTAACTTTTTTATGGTAACGTTTTTTTCTAATATATATATATATAAGAGTGCTTATGGCTCCTTACATGTTAAAAAAGCAAAAAGGGGTACAAATATAGTGGTGACCCCTCCAAAAAACAAGCTAAAAAACAAAACAAAAGCCTAAATGCCGTGTCTGTGTGTGTGTGTGTGTCTATATAAACAAAAGCCTAAATGAAGTATATTTATATAGGCCTTTACCTACAATGAAGATGGGGAACGGTCAAATTATCACCATGTAACAAAAAAGCTAGTTGAGGTGGAGGTACAGTCCCCACCCACACACACACACACACACACATAACACAAACATATATACATATACATACACATACACATATACATATACATATACATATACATACATATATATGTATGTATATATATATATATATATACACACACACACACACACATATACACACACACATATATATACATATATCTGTATGTGTGTGTGTGCGCGCGCGCCTATATATGTGTGTATATATCCATTTATGTATATGAATATTGACTAATGTACTAGAATATGATTCCAGCCAAAGTTGATGAATACTAATTCTATTGGCAAGGATGAGGGCCCAATATAAAGCCAGAGTTTTAGCTTCCAAGGGGTCTTTGGCAAAAGTGGGAGACTAGAAATAGTGCAGGCAAACCCCTCTCTAATCCCTAAAGATACCCCCCATACCAGCATGGGGATGAAGAAAATTTCCATAAATATTAACTTTGACCCATCCTTTCTGAGGAGGTAACCACTTCACCAGTATAGGCTTAATAGGATTGGGGTTATTCAAAATATCCTGAGAGAAGATCTGAGAGAAACTCTTAAACTTATGAAGTTTCTGTATATAAGCAATACACTGATTAGCCACATTATTTACCCCAAATTTAGCCTCCTCAAACTTCATTTTGTTCTTAGACATCCAAACAAACCAAGACACATTGCATGGTACCACAAAAAGTTTTCTATCCAGCTAGTCTTGCCAGCACTGATAAAAATTCCCCCAGGACAGGTTCAAGGCTGATAACAAAGCTTGACTTAAGAAACTTTCCCAGATTAGTTGCACAGTGGAGCATTTGAAAAAGAATGTGAGTTATAGATTATATATATTATATATATATACATACGCGCGCGCGCGCACACACACACACACATATAACACAAACATATATACATATATATACACATACACATATACATATACATATACATAGATATATATATATACACACACACATATATAACACAAACACATATTCATACACATATACATATATATACACATATACACACACAAACACACACACACACACACACACACACACACA